CCCGGTCTCATGTCTCGGAATCCGACAAAAGTCACAAAATTAGAAAGCACTTTCACTCACGAGTCCATACATACAAGATTTATCGAAATCTGACTCCACTTGACCCCTCAAATCCTCAATCAAACTCTCCAAAAATCCCAAGACCTAACCCCTCATTTTCACCCTTAATCTCCACTAATACATGATTAAACAACGGAAAAGTACCATAAACACGAGTATTAGGGCTCAAATAACTTACCTCAATGAAAACCCCCTTGAATCCCTCTTCAAATCACTCCCAAAAGCTCCAAATCCGAATAAAAATGGTGAAGAACGACCCAAAATTCGTGAAGTGTGCAATATATACCTTCTGCCTAGGCTTTCCGCACCTGCGGTCAGAAAAGCGCACCTGCGGTGCCGCTTCTGCGCCAAAAAGTCCTCATCTGCGGAAGTCACTTATATCCCCAAAACCGCACACACGCTCCAGGTCTCGCACCTGCGGGCCCGCAGATGCGACAAAACCTCCGCATTGCAACTCCTCTCCTGGCCCTCCATTTCTGCATATGCGGCTTCCCCACCGCACCTGCGACCTCGTACCTGCGGTCCCACTCCGCAGGTGCGGTTAACACAGAATTAGCAGCTTCAGCTGCATTTTCCAAGTTTCAAACTCTCCGTTAACCATCTGAAATCATCCCGAGGCCCTCGGGACCTCAACCAATAATATCAACAAGTCCATATCAACATACGAACTTAGACGAATCTTTGGAACACTCAAAACAACATCAAAACGCCAAATCACCCTCGGATTCAAGCTTAAAAATTTCTAAACTTCTAAATTCCGCAAACGAAGCCGAAACCGTAAATCAACTCCGAATGACCTGAAATTTTGCACACACGTCACAAATGACACCATGAACCTACTCAAATTTCCGAAATTCCATTCTGACCCCGTTATCAAAATTTTCACTTCCAACCAAAATCACCAAATTTTCAATTTCGCCAATTCAAGCCTATTTCTACCACGGACCTCCAAATTACATTCCGAACGCGCTCCCAAGTCCAAAATGACCTAACGGAGCTAACCGAACCATAAAAATCCATATCCGAGATTGTTTACTCATAAGTCAACATCCGGTTGACTTTTTCAACTTAAGCTTCTAAATAGGAGACTAAGTGTCTCATTCCACACCGAAATCACTCCGGACCCGAACCAACCAACACGATACGATAAAATATAACTGAAGAACACATAAGGAAGCAGAAATGGGAAAAACGAGGCTATAACTCACGAAAGGACCGGACGGATCGTTACATTTGTAGATTTACAGATGTCCAAATAGCCTTGGATACCAGAGTGGGTTGTGAGTCGAGAGTTTACCTTGCATCTAAATATTCATTTTAGTTTTTCTATAGCTAATTACGGGCAGGAGGAGATTGGGGTTGTCAATGATAAGGAGATGTAACTGAGGCCTCATTTGTTTGCACTTAATGGAGGTCTGAATCTTAATCATTCAGATCTCAGACATTAAGTGCGTTTGTTTTTAAAGTCTGAATCTTAATTATTCAGATCTTAACCATTAAGTGTGTTTGTTTTTTTTTACTTCACAACCACTTAATGGGTCTGCATAGATCTGTATGATTAAGATCTATAACAGAGACTTAATTCATTAAGATGCTATCGCATATTCATTATTAACTGCGGCCACCGCCTACCATTATCAACTACCACCATGTCACCACCACCACCACCACACCCCCCCCACCACCACCACCACCACCTCCACCACCACCACGCCACCATCATCCTCAATCATAGCCTCCATTATCAACCATCACCACATACTATCCCCACCACTCCGACCACCATCGTTCTTACCCATAATCAACACTCATCCGCCTCATCTACCATAACTGACCACCTCATCACCATCAACAACTACAACCGGCACTGCCCATCATTATAACCTACCACCACCCACCCACCAGCTTCCTCAATCACAACTACTACCACCACCCGACACTATTAACTATCACCACCCACCACCACCATCCTCAATCATAATCGCCACCACTACTAATCACTACTAACTACTAGCATGAACCACCATCATCAACCAAAACTACCACCAACCACCGCCTCTAGTTTGCATTCACCCGTTAGCCATCACCACCAACAACTATCATATTTTAAAAATATATATAATTTATTGATAGAATATTATATTAGTTAGTATATCATTTGAATTTTATGTTTATTAATTTTCAAATAAAGATAATTTTATACATTCAGATGTTAAAAATCAAACAGTTTTAATTATTTCTATTCAGATCTTAATACACATCTTAATATATTCATATTCAGATGTCTTAATCTTGATACACATCTTGATATTCAGATGCGTATTCAGATTCAGACGTCTTAATCTTAGAAAAAAAACAAATGAGGCCTGAGTAGGCGGCAGAGAATAGAGGAGAGAAAAAGGAAAATGATGTAACTAAATCCCCTAATTTAAGACACTAATAATGGATTTGTACATAATTTATAAGTAATCCTTGTTTAGGGTGAGTAGTATACAAAACTAGGACAATTTTGGTAAATAAGTTTCAAATATTGTACAGGAAGGAAAAAATCTCTACTTTAATCAAGAAGGATTTCGTAATCTTAAAGATTTATTATAGTATTCTCAAAACATTTTTTTATCTGCTTGACTATTCTTTGCTCAATTTTTAATATCTCCGTTCCCTTTTTTATATATTCGCAGTTCGAGTTTTTTTCATAGCGGTGTTCGAATTAATTTGCATGTACTTATATAGTTGAGTAACCGCTATGTCTCATCAAAACATGAATTAGATTAAAAAAAGTTACTCAATATTGAGATTTAAACTCTAGTCAACTATCATTTTTATTATGCTTCAATCCCACTTCCCTTATTTAGTTTCATTTACTTTATTTTATTTAATTAGAGATATTTGTGCCGGATAATGGAATATATATCCAATGTTGCCTTTACTTTTCTTACTCGGTCAAAATAGCACTATGCAATCACAACGTGAAATGTGCCGCTGATATTGTTTGACTATACTTTCTTATTGCCAAAAGCAAAATGTGATTTGTGAATATACAAAACAAAATGTTGTAGTTGATCAATTGATTGTACCTTAGTTTTTCACCATTTAATTTACTCTAGCCTTATCAAGTTACCATAGTGAATTTTTTTTTTTTTATCTCTTAGAAAGAACGGCTAAACGATCAGATTTAATTGCTCTAATCATTATTTGTCACAAGCTGAAGTAGTATATTTTCATCAATGAGATCCTCATTATAAAGAAACAAAGCTTATATTCTCAAAATGTAACGAACAACATTATATAAGGGTGTCAACAATTTTATTATGATTCATTCTCGAACATTTAAATAAGTATTATTCCCTTTGGTTCATACTAAGTGATTTTTTGGTCTTTTTATTTTGATCAGAAATAAGTGTCCTTTTATATAATTAAGAAGGTATTAACTTTATATTTTCATAATTGCCCTTATATACATATTCGAATGTGTCAAGTCATCAATATGCAAATTTTAATTAAGGGTAATTTAGTCAAAATATTTTTTCTCTCTAAGAGTTAGTATTTTCTTAGGGGATGTATCAAAGGCCAAAAAGTCAGTTATTATATATTGGAGGTAGAGCCGTCAATATGGCTTGGCCCGTAAGGCCAGCCCAGCCCAGCCCGTGATTTAGCAGGGTTGGGCTAGAATTTTTGGAGCCCGTTTAAAAATAAGGCTTTTAAGCCCGGCCCGAGTAAGCCCGTGGCCCGTGAAGCTTGACTGAGGCTGGGCCGAGCTGGCCCGTGGGCCTAATAAAATATTTATTAAAATATATAAAAAATAAAAGTATACTGCCTTTAGAGATGGAAAGTCAGAATATGATCTTTACTAAGAAGAACCAAAATTTGATCTTGAGAAGTTTCATGAGATGCATGTTGTCATGTATTGGAAGAACCATTCTAGAAAATATCCCGACCTTTCAATGATGGTGCGTGATGTACATAGTATTCTTATTACTATTGTAGCATCGGAATCAACATTTAGCATTGGTGGCGTGTTCTTACTAAGTACAGAAGTTGCATTTATTATGAAAATGTCCAAACACTTCTTACTACTCGAAATTTGCTGCACAGGTTTTCCCAAACTCAAACCGGTAAATTTTTTTTTACGTGAATTTAAGTATTATTAATTCTTAAAATTTAATGATTTTTAATATTTAACTAATTAATATTGCATATGAATTGTAGATGTAGATGAAAGCGAATATGTTAAGACAACCTTGTCACAAGCGGATTCAAATGTGTTTGATGAAGATGATGTGTTGGATATCTCATAAGCATCATGAACGTTCTCTTGAATAGTTTGTTTTAAGTTTTGACTTTTAGTGAATGAAATATAGTCTTGTCTTTTACTTTTTTAGTGTTTATTGTGATATATTGGAACAATATAAAAAGTTATTAAGTTTGCAAATTTTTTCCAATAAGATATTTTTTAACTTTTAAATAATTATCTTTTTTTAGGTCAGAACTTAAAGAAAAAATATAAAATTATATTTTTTAAAATGATGGGCCGGCCCGTGGGGGGGCCGCGCCCACATAGGGCTGGGGTGGGCTGACCATTATAAGGCTCATCAAAATGGTGGGCTAGCCCAGTCCAGCCCGTCAATTGCTAAAGCCCACGTGGGCCCAGCTGGGCTAGCCCGGCCCGGCCCATATTGACAGCTCTAATCGAAGGGAATATTTTTTAACAAGGATAAAGCTAATACGTTATGAATTTTTTATTATATAGAAACATGTATATTTTATTTAATAAAATTACGTAGTATTTTTTATTAAAAGAATTACGTAGTTAGTTCTTTAGATGCGATATTCGTTCTTTAGGAAAAAGAACTAAGGTTCGCCCATTAGTCATTAGATTAAGAAAAACAAAAGAAAAAGCATAAGAAAAAGAAAGGGCCGACAGAAGAAAAGCAAAGAAATAAAGAAAAGAAAAAAGAGAGAAAGGAAAAGCCATATAACCATGATTAAATCCACCGCATTTTAAACCACAGACCGCCATTTTGACACGAATTTGTATGCAAAAAAGTTGAAAAAAGAAGAATGAAAGAACAAACATTAAAATGAAAACAAGAATTCCAAGTTCTGTTCATTTTTTCCCCCTTCTTCTATTATTCTTCCAGTTTTAGTACAGTGACCAAAACAAGAATCAATATTTCATGGCCAAACCAAAGAGAGTGTACCAATCTTGGAAAGGGAACAATGTAAGGTTTTTTCTAGTCCATATGTTTATGTTATACATTATAATGTAAACTGTTGTGTAGTGTATTCTTTCATTTTCTTTCTAATTAAGCTCATTGTTTTCTAACTAATTGGGTGTTCATATATTGTGTTAAAGTTCAATGGGTTGGTTTTACTTTGTGGAACTTGATCTGGATTTTTGTTGCTTTACTTGTTTGTCTTCAACAAGAAATTAAAAGAAGATTTGGCTTGTTGGGGGTTGCTGGTTTGAGTTGTACTTTTTGTATAATTCTCGGCCAGCTTGCACGTTTCTCGACTATTGCATCACATACGTCAGCAGGGGCGGAGCTAGCATGCCGAATATGGGTTCGGCCGAACCCATTAGCTTTAGTCTAAACCCTTTGTTTGTTTTAAGACAATGTAAGAATTCATTAATTCAGAACCTAGTAACTTAATCGAACTACAATTTGAAACCCATAAACTTTAAATCCTAGTTGCACTTCTGCCTACCAGTTACATGGTAACTTTGTCCGCCAAGGTTTAGGCAAATGGAAAGAAATCACCCGGTGTCTCTTGCTTCCAATAAGAATTAAACACGAGACCTCATAGTTCTCCACAACCAGTAGGACACACCCTTGGGTGCTGGATTGAGTTGTATTAGTTCATTATTTCTTTTGAGCTTAAGATTATGCACATTGGAGAGAATATACTTTGATTTTGTTGTAGTAAAGCTAATGGGTTTTTTAGGGACATGAGTATTTGGTGTGCATAAATTGTATATGTTTTTTAATCTAATTTGGAGGAATTTAATCTGGGTTTTTGTTGCTTTACTTGCCAGCTTTCAACCAGGAAAAAGATTTTATCTTGTTGTGTCGCTGGATTTAGTTGTACCAGTTGATTATTTTGTTTGAGCTTAAGGATCATGTATGCCTTAATATAATGTATCCTTTAATTTTTTTAGCCTTAATATAAAGTATCCTTAATTTTTTTTTAACTAGCTAATGGTTTCTGAAGGGTATTGTTAATTGGCTGTCTTTATATTGTGCTTAAAGTCTATAATTTGGTGTACTTCAGCGGAATTTGATCTAGGTTTTTTTTCGCTTTAATCACCGGTCTTGGACAAGGTATGAAAATTTGGTCTTTTGGATTGCTGGATTAGTTGTATTGGGTTTATCACATGTTTGAGCTTAAGGATTTTGGCGTCTTACGTACTGTTTCTTGTTTGTTGACGGGATGATGATGTACAAGTAGTAAGGCTATGCTGGATGCCACTTGAAGTTACTGCGAAGAAGCGAAATATAGTGGCTGATAGTCTCTGTTAGTTATTTAGGTTTCAATGAACAATTTGGCACTGTTGTGGATTTTCTACACGTAGGTGAAATGTGATCGCACAGGTAATAAGTCTTAAGTAGAGTATCGTTCCATGAGGACTAGGTAGCAACTAAGGAAATTATTTTAACCTCGACTTTATTTGAACTATTGAGTTGGTTGTAGTTTTGTACCAAAACGAACTAAAACTAGAAACAACAAAAACAAACTAATATGTTAAGAACCTATCATGGAAAACCTAAGGCAGTCGGCTTCACCAATTGCCTGACCTGGCAATCACTAGTTTGATGATGTTATTATTTGAATGAGCTGCTATTGTAGGATTTATTCTTCTCTGACGTTGTGTTGGCGTTTAACTTTGTTTTTGGGTAATGTTTGTAATCTGCAGAAATTCTTATTTGATGGGAGGCTGATATTCGGACCAGATGCTAAGTCACTGATTGTCACCTTTACGCTTATCCTTGTCCCTGTTGTTACATTTTGCGTATTTGTTGCAAGAAATCTTGTTCACGAATTCTCAACAGGAAGTACAGGATATGCAATTATGGTCTTAGCAATTGTCTTCACAATCTATGTTAGTTCACTTCCCTTTATTGGGCCTGTAATATTCTATCGTTTGTGGGGCAGAGTTCGGCTAAATACTTCATTTCCTTCTTACTTTCTGCTAGCAGATACTGTTAAACTTGTGACCATCACACTTTGAATTACTTAATTATATTATATCTAAACACGCCCCTTCATGTCTGGGCCTGATTCTTTTTCATGGACCAAACATGTGGAAATATTTCTCTTTGTTTTTTTAGGTGGTGGTGAGATTTAACAAAAAATCTCTTGCCTACTCCGATACCATGTTGAACTGTGTGACATCTCATCTAAAAGCTTTAACTTTTACAAAGAACAAACACTTTAGTTAGTACATTTGTAGCTGCAATCCCCTAGTGCCGTCGTGCTTTCTTCTGTTGTTTTATTAGTACTTCATAGTCTTGATATCGTGCTGCTTGTGATAGGTCTTCTTGCTTCTACTTGCAACATCAACTAAGGATCCTGGCGTTGTTCCACGGAATTCTCATCCTCCAGAGGAATTGTTAGGTTATGATTCTTCAGCTTCCAATGAAGCTGGTGGGAAACCTTTGCCTCGCACCAAGCAAATCCTAGTCAACGGTCTGCCAGTGAGAGTTAAATATTGTGAAACATGCATGTTGTATCGTCCACCAAGATGCTCTCATTGCTCAGTATGTGATAACTGTGTGGAGCGGTTTGATCACCATTGCCCTTGGGTCGGTCAATGCATTGGAAAGGTAATGGAACTTCCTTCTCTACAACTCTTTTTATAACTACTTTTATGGTTTCTTAAGGAGAAAAAAGTGGTACGCTTTCCCTGTTTGCTTTGTATCAGTTGCTTATGTGGTTGTAAAAAAAAGGTCTATGAGGAAGGACTCCACCTTTCTACTTTTAGCTGCTCCTTCACTGCCTCTTGAGACTCGTTTGTTTCTTTTTTGGTGACAGCGCAACTATCGTTGCTTCTTCCTATTTGTTTCGTCAACTGCTCTCCTCTGTGTTTACGTCTTTTCCATGTCGGCGTTATATCTTAAGCTTCTTGTCGATGATTATGGAACTATTTGGAAGGCTATTAAAGTATCGCCTGCATCAGTTGCGCTGATGGCGTATTGTTTTGTTTCACTTTGGTTTGTTGGAGGTCTCACTGGCTTCCATTTGTATCTCATATGTCGAAATCAGGTTAGTCTTTTACACTTCTTATGTCAATATATAATTTAGTTCTGATTTGCTTTAGTTTGCATCTATAATAATTGCAGTACTGCTTTCGTTCATGTATGTTTGATCTTTTTTTGTGTGATGATTATGTTGGTCACAACATGCGTCTCTCAAGCTCCATTATGTTGGAGTCAATAACTAAAAAGTTTATTTGTTTTCGCCTATAGACCACATATGAGAATTTTCGTCATAGAGGACTAAGAGGAGATAACAGGATCAATGTGTATGACCGAGGTTGCACGAACAATTTTCTTGAAGTATTCTGCTCGAGGATAGAACCTTCGAAAAACAATTTCCGCGGATATGTACATGAAGAGGCATTAGAGTCTAGCAAGGTAGGAAACATTCAAGTAACAGAAGTTGATAACTCCGGTGGGGATAGAAGAGTCAAGGTAGAAGAAGATCTTGAGATCGGAGATGATCTCATGAAGATATCCCAACGACGTAACTCTCAAGACATTGGAGATATTAGAGGTAGAGGAAGCGACAGGTCACCCATAAGTCGTTCTGAGCTTGACTTTGGATTTGGTCTGGAGTCGCAGTTTTCGTCCAGATCAGAGAGTCGCCATTCTGGCTGGTGAAGCAGAAGTGACGCGAATTGAACTGATATTAACATCTTTCCAAAGCCATATCTACTGCAATGATTTTGCAGTCACAGTTCCGAGATTTGAAATGTGATACATTAAGGTGGCTAGCCATCAAAATGCATCTCGAGTGCTCCTTCTGGGTAACATTCTTGAACAGTGTTATCAAAGGCGCGCGCTTAAGCTCTTAGAGTTTTTTTTGCGCTTTTCGCCTTTGATAACACTGGCACAGAACATCTTTGTCACAAAACACAGATAATCTGTTGACTTCGATAATATTTTTGCTGGTTATTATTTCTTGAAAGAACTAGGAACATATGTCAAAGGCGTTTGCAAATGTATACATGTAACCATTTTTTTCTGTTACCCTTCTTCCTATATGGGTTATACTGTGAAATTTAGCGGTGGTTCTGCCTTTAATGTCACAAATTGATGATGTGTGGCTTGCTTCAAGCCAAATATTATTGATGAAGGGGGGATAAAAATTAGGGTGTTTTTTCACTTTTAGTCCGCGGCAGAAACTATTTACATTTGGTAGTCGAAAAAGTGTATAAAATTTGTATATAACATATATAATGTTTATATATATACAAAAAATATATACATTATTTTGGTTATATATTATTTTAAGAGCGGCTATACATTGTCGTTTTTCATAAAAATTACAGTTTTGCTCAGAGAAAATGATATTAAAAAAAATGAGTACTATACACAGTTTTCTAGCTAAACTTCTGAATGATGGAAAAGTATTTAAGAAAACAGAGTTGATTTTTGTATAACATTAGTATATTCTTTGGCAACTAGGAAAGAAAAAGAGAAAGGAGAAGTAGGAGGGAAAGAATAAGATTCTAAATATTATCTACCATCAATTTTGCACATTAAATCAGTCCAAATGGAGCATGACTTCTTTCAATTGCCAAAAAGGAAAAAAGACATTATTAAGTTATTGTCTTGGGTATTTGTTGATCGTTTATTGTCCCGGATACAGTCAAATCTTTCTATAACAGTTATTCTTTATAACAACACTTTACTATAACGGCCAAATTTTTTTTGGAACCAATTGTTTATATTATATTATAATATATGTTTTCTATAACAATACTTCACTATAGCAACCAAAAAATATCGGAACAAAAAAGGTTTGACCGTTGTTAGAGCCTTTTAGTAAGAAAATGCATTGCAAACTCAAACTACATATAAACTCTTCGTTCGTGTTAGACTTGTGTGTAATGTAATTTAAGTAATACAAGTATGAAGTATGGCACATTGTGCGAATTATTCGGAATACATCAATAGAGTAAGTAGAATTGAAAAGGTCTCGATAATATTATTGGGAATCTTATATAAATGTTCCAAAAAAGTCCCAACTTACCAACCTCTAGCCATTAATCATAAATTTATCAAAACTAGCCAAACACATATAAAAATTAAAAACTCAAATAAATAAGGTTCTTTCTCTCCAAGAATCACACACAATTCCATATTTTTAAGCGTGATTAGCAACATTAGATGCAAGACGGAAAGGAAATTTCGTGGATTTGGTAGCAAATAAGGTGATGAAATACAAAAAAATATATGTACAAGATTCCTAAAACCAAAGCAAAAAATGACTTTTTTTCAATGGGTATGGTTGAGATTCATTGAAAAAATATAAATGAGTCAATATACAAAATTTGAGGAAGATTGGAGGTGATTTGGACTGATTTAGTTTCAAAATTCTTAGTTAAAATCGAGTTCAAAAAATTCTTCTGCGACACATGTATCAAACACGTATCACGCATGTATCTCATACGCAGGTATACATGGATATACATGTGATACACATTTGATACAAATATGATATATGTTTGATACATAAGTGATACACAGTGTGATACACATATCATTTTTTTCATGTTCATCTTCTACTTCGAATTTTCAATTCAAACCACCTCAAAACTCCACCAAATCATCCCAAAACCGAGATTCAAGATCCTTAAGATGTACCTAATCTATTCTAATAACACCCACTCAAAAGAAAGCAAAAATTTGACCTTTTTTGGCTACAAATAGCTAATTGGCTAATATTGGTAATATTTTAGGAATTGGCCAATTTTTGTAATAAGTTACTTATAAATGGACATAACTGGTATTTTTCCAATATTATTTTCTTCAAAAAAAAAAATATATTTTGTGCCTCATACAACTAACACAAATGTGTGAAAATTCTCTTTGTTTGACAAGTGAGTTTTAATTCATAATTTTGTCTTCATAATTTCCACTTGTCAAACATAAACAAATTCTCTCACTAATAGCCTGTTTGGCCAAGCTTTTTTTGGTCAAAAGTACTTTTTTCCAAAAATTGAGTTGTTTGGCCAAGCTTTTAGAAAGATAAAAAGTGCTTTTGAGGAGAATCAGAAGCATTTTTTTAGAAGCAGAAAAAAGTAGCTTATCTTACAAAGCACTTTCTGAGAAGTACTTTTGAGAAAAATACACTTAGAAGTAGATCTTAAAAGCTTGGCCAAACGCTAATTACTGCTCAAAAGTGTTTTTCAAATTAATTAGCCAAACACAAACTGCTTAGCACCAAAAATATTTTTTTAAAAGTAATTTTTAAAATAAACTAATTTTAGAAGCTTGGCCAACCAGGCTATAACTTTGTGTCAATTGTATAAGATAAAATTGTTATGAAATATTATTTTGTAGTGGATGTCTATAACTCCTAAAGAAGTTACTCCCACTACTCTTCTCCATTATGTAGATAACTCCCACTACTTCTCACCATTATAGTTGTAACTCCCACACCTCCATAACCTCCCCATGATCTTTCCCCATGATCTCAATAGTTAATACCATGTTTATGATATCCCTTTGTATACCTCAATGTCATCCTATAAATAGAGGGTTTTGACATCACATTGTATACACTTGAATACATAGAAGAAATAAGATTCTCTCCTCTCTTCCTCTCTACATTGTTGTCTATTTTATTGTTCTATATTGTTACTTTGAGCTAAGTTTCGTAACACGTTATCAACACGAGTCTCTATCCAATTGAGTTACTACATCTACAAAATTGTCTTACATCAGAAAAAACATATGTCTACTGTGCCTGATATTCCTCTGGAAGAGATGAGTTTTTCTTTTCCATTTAGCAATTTCAAATAATGGTATGAAATATAATAAAAGGAATAACAAGGTTGAGGAGACTAGTACATCGTGAAAAGGCATATAATGCTAAGATACGTTTTCTATTTTTTTTTTAATTAATTTATTTTCTTGTTAGTTTTTCTCAAAGGTTCTTTATTTGTCGGAAAAATTTCCAATACTAAGTATTACTTTGTAAAGTTGAAAATACTTAGATGTAAATTAATTACTACTCCATGTTTTTCTTTCTAATATTTATTGTAAGTTTAGTCTAATCTCTTTCACCTAATGTTCAGGTTAGATGTTATATGAGAATCAGAAGCATATAATGATGCAGCTAAATGTTACATACTAAACCAGAGACCAAAGATGTACATAAATTAAGGAGCTACGCCAGCTTTTGCAAAGTGATTTGAAGAACTTTGATTCCTTTGTTACCAGTAAATAGATACTTATTGTGTAACACATATATGAGTTTACTTTTATTATATTAAAAGTAGTATACCATGAAAGTCTCAAGGGTGAATCTACTTTGGCATATTATGCCATTAATTAAGGATAAGACGGTGGATTCAAGTCCCAACGCACCA